AATTATCCGACCCCGAAATCGAGTGACACGAAAAACAGTTCGGGAAACTTCCCAGCCGGCACGCGTTAACGGCAACCGTAGCCGGCGAACACAGCCGCCTCTTATATGTCACGGATGTGACTACGAAAGTTCGCTACCTCGTCGACACTGGCGCAGAAGTTAGCGTTCTTCCAGCAAATCTCGACGACAGACTTCGCGAGTCTGTTTTAAGTTTACAGGCGGCAAACGGAAAGCCGATCGCTACTTACGGTAAAAGGTACGTCTACCTTAACGTGGGTTTACGTAAACCCATACACTGGATTTTCGTGGTTGCAGATGTCTCTATGCCAATCATTGGTATTGACCTGTTACAACACCACAATCTACTCATCGACACACGCTCACGAAGGTTAATAGACGGAAACACTAAGTTGTCCGTTTGCGTAACTCCTTGTTCTGGTTGCAGGTTATCCCCAGTCACGATTAAGCACGCCATAGACCCCTTGTACCAAGCAGTACTCGACAAATACCCCGGGATATACCAATCGCAATCGAAATTACCTTGTGTAACCAGCAATGTTACACATCACATCTCGACTACAGGACCACCTGTATTTTCGAAAGCCAGAAGACTCGCTCCCGAAAAACTTAGGTTAGCTAAAAACGAATTCAATCACATGATGGACCTAGGAATAATTCGACCATCGAATAGTCCATGGGCATCCCCATTGCACATGGTCCCTAAAAAGGACAGCAATGATTGGCGGCCAACTGGTGATTATCGGCGTCTGAATGCTAAAACCATTCCCGATCGTTACCCGCTGCCTCATATTCACGATTTGACAGCTACCTTGAAGGGTACAACTGTCTTTTCGAAAATCGACTTGGTTAAAGCTTATAACCAAATCCCGATGGCACCTGACGACATTCCTAAAACCGCCATCATCACTCCCTTCGGTCTTTACGAATTTCTACGAATGCCTTTTGGTTTAAGAAACGCGGCTCAAACCTTCCAAAGGTTTATAGACGACGTCTTCCGAGGTCTCAACTTCGTACATGCGTATGTTGATGACTGTCTAATAGCAAGTCCGGACAGAGAATCGCATCTCAAGCATCTGGACATTGTTTTCGATCGACTTCAAAGGCATGGCATTACTGTCAACATTCAGAAATGCCAAATCGGAACTAACTGCTTAGACTTCTTAGGACACACCATTGATGCCCAAGGCATCCGACCCCTTAGGAGCAAAGTGGCGACCATTCTGGATTACCCAGAACCGACCACGATCAAGCAGTTACGAACTTTTAACGGACTCGTAAGTTTCTATAGACGGTTCATACCTAAATGCGCATCCCTAATGAAACCGTTGACCGATCAGCTTCGTGGAAATGCGAAATCAATTAGTTTAGACGACACAGCCCGTAAAGCATTTTCCACAGTTAAGGAACACATCGCTAAAGCAACCTTGCTTGCTCATCAGGACAGTCAAGCGCCCATTAGTATCGCCGTAGACGCATCCGACTCAGCAATCGGAGCAGTCTTACAACAATGGGTTAACAACTCGTGGCAACCTTTAGGATTTTTCTCGAGACGGTTGCTAGACGCTGAATCTAGGTACAGCACGTTCGGTAGGGAACTCCTAGCTATGTATTGTGCTGTACGGCATTTTCAACATTCCATCGAAGGAAGAGAATTCACGCTCTTTACCGATCACAAACCTCTTACCTTCTCTTTAAGTTCATCTTCAGACAAGTACTCACCAAGAGAGTCTCGACAACTCGACTACATTTCGCAGTTTACTTCAGACATACAACATATTTCTGGAGCAAACAATGTAGTCGCAGACGCCTTGTCTCGAATTAGCTCCTTGAACAGTTTCCAAGGAATCGACCTTCTTAAACTCGCTCAGCTTCAAAAAGAAGACATTGATCTTCAGCATGAGTTAGCCTCGACAACTCTTAAACTAAGTATTAGGCAGATGGGAACAGGTAAGGAAACCTTACTCTGTGACACATCTACAGGTAGGGATCGTCCGATTGTACCAAAACACTATCGCCGCAACGTCTTCAATACGTTGCACAATCTTTCTCATCCAGGTGCTCGTGCAACAATCGAACTTATAGCCGAACGCTTTTGTTGGCCTGGCATGAATAAAGACGTGAGGGAGTGGGCACGCTCCTGTGTAAGCTGTCAGAAATCTAAGGTAATCAGACACAACAAATGTCCCTTAGGTTCTTTCAAAACCCCTGACGCTCGATTCGACCACGTCCATCTAGATTTGGTAGGACCCTTACCCGACTCGAACGGATACTCATATCTCCTAACATGCGTAGACCGTTTTACTCGATGGCCAGAAGCAGTACCGATTAAGGACATTACTGCTGAAACAGTGGCTCGCACTTTCGTCGAACGATGGGTAGCAAATTTCGGCTGCCCTTCAACCATCACTACAGACCGCGGACGCCAGTTCGAATCTGGACTTTTCCGTTGTCTGACCACACTTTTAGGAATCACGCGCTTCCGAACGACCGCCTACCACCCACAAGCAAACGGGTTGGTAGAACGTTTTCATCGACAATTAAAAGCTTCATTATCAGCTTCAAACGTTTCACAGTGGACAGACGCTCTTCCACTCGTCTTGCTAGGTATCCGCAATGCAGTGAAAGCTGACATTGGATACACGGCATCTCAACTCGTTTACGGAACGACACTCCGACTCCCAGGAGAATTCGTGGATCCTTCAGCTTCTTCATTGAACATGGATCTAAACTCTTACACGAGTAGGCTTACAAACGCTATGCGTTCAGTTAAACCTGCTCACACTCGACCTCAATCAACTGATGTTTTCGTTCAACCCGAATTACGACATAGTACACACGTCTTCGTTCGTCGAGACTCACATCGACGACCCCTCGAATCAGCATACGAAGGACCCTTCAAAGTTCTTCAACGCGAACCTAAGTACTATGTAGTTGATAAGAACGGTACGAAAGATAGCATCAGTATCGATCGACTCAAAGCTGCGTACCTAGAAGGAAACCCTAGCTACGTCGATTTTCCTTCGGTACAAGCAAACGACACAGCTACTACACTCGTAGTACCCTACACGACAACCGACACACAACTTGATACTTCGTCAACGTTGATAGAAAAACCTAAAACAACGCGTTCTGGAAGACGAGTAAGATTTCCAGAACATCTTAACGAATATTGCACGTAGGACATAAGCTTTATCTTGAATTACCCTTTCATTGTTTATTATAAATTTTTTTAATATGCTCATTTTTTTTTATTTATAAAAAAAACAAAACATTTTTATTATTTTTTTTTTGAGCGTATATATATATATATTAATATATTGAAAAAAAAAACCTTTTTTCCGATCGCTTTTACGCTGTTTGTAAGTGTATCAGTTTATTTTTTTCCGCTCATCTTGTGTCCTTACGCAAGTACGAGTGTATTTTTGACATGCACTCACACGTTTTATTTTTCCTCTTTTCCAGGACGGCTGGAAAAGAACGACGAAGTTTTCGCAAGGAACAGAAATTTTCATTGTACTATATTTCTTTATTGCTACGTTGTACATTTTGGTCCCATAGTTTAAGGAAAGACGACCAGACGCTGCTAAACGAAGCAAGCTATCAGAAGAGTGTTTACCAACGACAAATTCGTTGGGTTTAAACTTCTGGCTGGTCACGTCTTAGGGGCATCACTACCTCACTAGGGGGGGAGTGATCTGTAGCTGTAAATAATTCCCCAAAATCAATAGCTCATTAAGTGTTCGACATTGGATGCTGACCACGTTGTTTAAGTGGACTTGTTTAGCTGAAGGCTTTCGGTCATGCATCCGCACCAGATCACGTTTCAATACTGCGTGGGACACAGCTCCTACGTTTCATTAGTCAGCTCATAGAAAAGGTCCTCGATATATTGGTAACGAATCAAATATATCTTTCCTGCCTCTTCTCGTTTGACTTCTGATTTTCTATCTGACTGGTAACAACCGAATTTAGAAGGTGCTACTGGTATCTAGTTGTAAAACTAGAATATCCGTTGCATCATCACCGTATTCAACAACGACTTAGGTGAGGAGAAACAATTCATTGTTTAACGCAAAATTACAGAACTATCAAAATCCTACACTGAATAAATCAATTGCACATCTTTGCATTTCCTTCACATAATTCATTATTCCTCTAATTATATTTTATCTCACTTGCCCATCGATTTACCTCCTGCTACCTTTATTTCAATCTTCTAATGTCACGCATTCCACCTCCGACTGGCACTGCGTACTACTTATATCTGTCAGTACAAGTAGCATACATTGAAACGGAGCTTAAAGGCTCAATGTCATCGAAATTCTATAATATAATCATTCCTTCCAGTGATAACACGTACTACCGAGAGGTATGATTATTTTTTTAAAAATTTTAGACCTTTGAACTCTGTTACACATACTTTTGTTACTTCTAAAGGTATATAAAACCGGGAATCCAAAGACATTTTTTAGAATGATGAGTTTTAAACGAGCAGAACGAACCATCTTTTCCATTGCAAACGAAACAAGAGAATTCATGAATTAATGAATGTGTATATGAGGAAACTACCTGCATATTACAAAAACAGAAGTTCCAAGAGGTAAGCGAATGCGCATATAACGACATAGTCACAATTAAAAATCGTAAATGAATAAAAATTATTGACCGATTAACAAGGAATAAATAATAGCCTATTTTTAGGGCAGAAACAACACCTTTATCAGTCAAATAATTTCAGTTAGGTCTTGACCAATTCAAATAACCCTGTAATAGTGTAAGGGTTATATCGATGTTCATTCTTTGACGTACTTTACAGTCTTACACAGAAGTTTAGTCCACAGCTTTTTTTAATCTTCAAAAATAAGGACATCACAAGGCATCCTAATAGTTAAACAGCTTTTCCAATGAAACGTAAGTGGAAATGTCCAATTTATTTACTCCTGACGAGTCCTCAAATGAACTCTTTGTTTTAATAAGCTAAATTTTTAGGTTGCTCCTATGAGAATATTTGTCGCCCCTTCAAAATCACATGAATATTTTGTGTTTCTGTTGTAAATCTTATCACTCAAGATTAGAAAATGGTTCGAAACTTCTATCTAAGAACGGAAAGTTAGACCCATACTATAGGTACTATCGTAAACTTCAATTATATCTAAAATTAATGTATGATCAGTAGTAGATCTGAAATAGACCCTAGAAATTTTATAATCACCGACAAGTGCGGTGGTATATACGGCAGAATTTCGGGGGAAATAAATGGTCAGCAATTTATAATCCAGAACTGTAAGGTGGGTTGATTACACCACTTAACTTGGTCTTCAGAATTCTTACATTTACCTCTTGGATCACTCAATGACAATCACTGTTGATGACTGTTCAGATTGTACTATCGTGACAGGGCCTGTCAAGACCTGGTAATTATATAGTTTTTTACCGTTCAGTTTTTTCATAAGAGATTGCCGACGTTGTACAGTAGCGACTGCATGTCAACAATTTCGGTCGAGGGATTGTCATGATACACTTGTTTTCTTGGCTTGTTCAACAGAACCTATCATTGAATCCTCCACAAATTTCACTTTTGGTCCCTATCAGTGTAGCTATCCAGGTTTAGAAGGTATGAACTGATACTGTGTAACTTTCTCTCATGAGTAATCGTTCAGGACTTTTAAATATTATTTTATACATTATTCTACTTCCAAACGGTGTTTTCGTGCTAGGAACTCTAGCCTCCTTTTTTCATTGTTGTATTCTGTCCCCTTCCAATAAAAACGTCTGTTCTCAGACAGAATGTGGCACCTAAGAATTCGTCCCTATATCTTTTCATTTTACTTATTCCCAATATCTGACCTGAAACCTTTTGTTAATATGAGTTTATGAACATTTTAAGTGAAAAAACTGCTTACCGACCACTTTTAAAGGTGTTCGGCTTCCGTTCAACCGATTATCGATCAGTAATCTTTTAAACCGAATCACAGATAGCGATATCTTTTAAATTTTTTTGGGATTCTGTGACCTTCCATGAAGAAACTATTGGTTCTTTATGACATCTTCAAGTAAATCTATGTGGCTTAGTAAGTTACCTTTAGTTTCTCAGATCATATAATTCGAAATACATGGCAAATATTTTCAGAATTTCAGTGACAGTCACACTAGAAAACAAAACAGATATTACGATCATTGTATAAAATTAAGGACGAAAGTAACGTTGAACAAGAATCACAGAGTTGGGAATGTGATTTCACCTTCTCATCTCGTTGCATCAACTACCCCGTGTCACTGATCAAAAAGTAATGTAAGACATAAGTGTGAGTTTAAGTACTTCTTGCTGGACAAAAGAATCAATTAATAAGGTCTTGTTTTACATATTTTAGGAATCAGTAAAGTGTTTTACTAACTTAAGTTCCCTAAATCTTAAAACATGTTTTTATAGCCCGCTAATTATCACGCGATAAGATTGTTAGTCAGAACACTGACTTATATGACTTTGGCACTGTGCCAAACCGTTGACGCGTTAACCAGTGCGAGCACCTCATAGTCTAATCTGAGTCCTTATTAGTGATTCTCGCCTATCCCTCCCCGTTTGAGTTCAGGACACAATCTCACCCTCCGCTATATGGATCATATATTTCAGACACAATCAGTTTATATACAAGCAAATCAGATCACATTATACCATAAAATAGAAAATAAAATTTATACAAGATCAGTTAGAAAGTGGTTGTGATTCTGAGAGACTGTAACTAATAAATTGAGAATAACTTAAGAATAGTAAATCGTACAATAGTCGTCAATAGGCCGAATTGAAGCTTATAATAAAAGGAACATGAATATACATATGATATAGTTACTTAGTAGTTATACAATAAGAATACATGTAATAATAGTCCATAAATAATTGCTAACAGTTACCACTCATTTATTCTTCGTTAGAATATAACAAACATCATACAAATTATGCCCTGAGCATGAAATAATGATACTCTACAGGGTTTTACATTCCAGTAGGAAATGTAATATTCATAAGATTGAGCTGTAATGTCTTGTAAGTATCTGGTATTGCTTCAGGAATGTCATACCTATCTAGGGATTCAATTCATAGAAATAGTGGACATTACAACAAGAATTACTTGTGTTTCCATCCACATGTTATTGTACTATTTAATTGTCAATTCACACCAAAGCACTTTACATTAAATAGATTTTAGGTTGCAAAAGGCTTTGTTGACAACCTTTGCCACGATTAGTGACTGCTCCTAACAGATTTTTAAAGCTTTTGAGGTTTAAATACTTCTAAAAGACACCTGTTTCATAGTGATGTACAAAAATAGAGAAAATCCCAGTAAATTGCCACCAAGCCCATAGATATTGTCTGTACATTTTAAACTCATTAGATCAAGGAATGAAAAAGTTGTCAATCTTGTAAACAACGAGCTAACTTAATATTACTAAAACGAAGTATGTCTTATACACATGCTTGGTAACACTTTTGATTTATTTATTTGCCGTTTGTCTATAAATTTTAGATCATTTCGCTGCATCTGGCCTCAGCATATTCAATTGCAATTGGTATGATATCTATGATTTTACCCCGGATGAAAATACTGATGCTGTCCATATTTCGCTACTAAAAACGACGGATTCAATAGATAACCATGTTTTAACACCACAAAAGGCATTAGAACATGAAATTGAAAATAACAAACTTGAAAATGGTAATATACATTCACTTTAAAATTGGTAAACTACTTAATACAACATGTAAGGCATTATTCCACGTCAGTGTTCTGTATTGTATTTGTATGAAGCTGTTTATCTTATAGAGAATCTCATAAATGTGTAAAAAAAGCTTCATCAGACAAAAACATATCCAAAAATTCGTAGTGCCCTTGACCTATAGACAAAATATGCAACACAACAAAAATTCTTAGACAATCACTGTAAACCAAAAAGCACAGAACAGTTGTTTCAGTATAGTATAGAACTTCTCAGTAATTCAGGAACACGACCCTGAATGGAGTCGAACTTAGGAATTTCAGGTTTTGCGGTGGGCAATTTATCTTTAGACAACCGGGTCGGCGTCTAATTATTCATTTGTTTGGCGCGCGACAGATATTATTGATGACAATGAATGAAGGTCGAACAATAGCATGAATTGATTAAAGTTAAGGCTAGAAAATATTGAATACCAACTTATTGATGTAAATTTTAAGCTCTAGTCGCCGAAACTGGATGTTCTTTGGCTCGATCCTTGGCAGAGTTATGGGTGCCTACTGCTGAGGAGCCCCATTTGGGGGGTGGAAATAACTGTCCAGTTCCTCCTGGTTTTCATTAGTCATCCAAATAAGTTCGATTCGTGGCGTAAACTATGAAATTCAACAGTATCTATAACGTCCTGTGACACCAATGACAAAATGACTGGACTGCCTAACTACTTCATTGATAGTTTATAAGATTGTCAGGAAAAAAATAACAGAACTAAACACTAATCTATAACCAAATCAGTATACATAAACTAATTACCCTTGACATTACTAGCAGTTAACAAATTTCAAACGTTGATACAAGACAACCTCAAAACTGACAGCTAAAACTGAATGAATACTGTCTTGAATTAATTAAATTCAGTCCTTTAGCCTAATATTTTTCCAAAATAATTATAAATCAGTATCTGTTAAGTGCCATAATTTAAAACAATATTGTTAAAAATAGTCTTCTCTTTTCATATAGTAATAAGTTCGCTCAGATTGTATGAAATAATATGAATTTATGTATGATCCTAGAAAATGTATGCTTTCTATTTGAGGTCCTGATTATTTTAATCTTCACTGCCTAATTCAACTCAAAGCTCTCCGACACTAATACTTATACATATATTACTGTTTTATATGCCAGTAGTTTGTAATTAAATACTACATTATTCATGTGCACCATTAGTGAGCTCATTTTTTGAAGGCTAGAGCACATACTAAATATCAAATTGTTTTTAGTTAATAGACTGACGTTTATGATTTACAGTTTTACAATAGTTTTGTACTTAGTCTCTTCCAAGGGTTGCTTAGTATGTAATATGAGATTATTAGGCCAGTTTAGTGACGGGTACCGATAGAAGAATAAAAAGTAACTCACTTTTTCTATATTTTTGAATATTTTGAAAAATATATACAACACCAGCTAACAAGCAATAACTTTGTAACTTGAAAAGACTAATTTCCGAGTATGGATTTACATTGACTTGTCGGTTTACAGTGTATTTAGACCATGAAACTTGTATGCCTTTAGGTTAGTTTTCCAGGTTTGCACGTGTCCTATTCAACTTTAGAAGTTATCTCACGAATATAATGGTAAAACACAACATCTTGATAAAAACGATCCATGCCTTTATGAAACAGTTATTTTACTATTTTCCACTAATTTGGATATCCCACAGTAAACCTATTTGGTTAACCTTGTATTTTATCAATATAAGAGGTGGGGAGAATATCTCACACCGTTCTTATCTAGCCGCGTTTCTCACAAGATGATTCAGAAACATACGTAATGGTAATTAAACATATAACATTGTGTTAAAATCTTAGAAATAGCCTTTGAAATAAAAATTAATCCAATTTCCGAGTCAATCAACTACACACATTTACCCACACCACTCGCAAAAACAGTCTTGCATGAATCTGTTCAGGAATGGAGTCAGCAGATTTGACATCCCATAAATAGATTTTTACGGTATTTTGGAGATTTGAAAGTGTCTAAACCGTAATTCAGTTTATAGGCTGCTCCATCTTCCTTTGATAATGAGGTAAGTAATCATTATCTTGAAGTGGAACTAAAAGACCTGAAGGTTTTACAATCTGTGTATTCCATGTAACATTGGAACCACATGCTACCTATATGATATTAATGATAGTGCTACTGAGTTAAAAAGAGTGAGAGCAATAAATTGTGAATAAATCTCTTCATAACAATATATCAGATAGATAAGGTAAAATGTTTCAAGATGATTAATAAACAGCTGCGCACTAGTTCTCTCAGTTTTGTTTTAGTTTTACCTATAAGGCTTCTGATTTATGTGCTCCAGTACAAACAGTCGATAATATTTGTTTGCTCTGGTCGTTCAACCTTTAACTGATAACGCCCTTAATTTAAAATTTTCTCTTTTGTAAAACTATATCGTTATGTCATATTTTGACCCTTTTCTAAATCATAATTTCGATTTTAACTGACTAAGCTTAACTCGTATTATTCTTAATTGACATTGACTTACATTCAGTCGACTTATCTTAGCACTCTGACCTTATGTTGATATTTTGTTCGAGGTTCTGAAATCTATCTTACATATGATAAATATTGATAACATTTTATTCAATATTTCTAACTTGGCTAAGATCTTTGTTACATTATACTGATATTTATTCGCATTAACCGCCGACTAACTTCATTATCTTTATATGCTAAATATTATTTTGATCATTGGATCTCGAAATATTACAAATTGTTGTAATTAGTCAACAACAAATCAATAAAATAAAATGAATTAGTTATATTACGCTTAAATTATTGTTTTTATTTCCTTTGAGAATTAGTGGATGGAATAATGAATAATTTAGACAAATATTTTCATTTATATAAGTGTCTTTTTCTTAATCGGTTAATCAGTAATTGATCACCACTAAGAATGTTTCATATAATAGTTTAGGACTTCCCTTCTATTTGCGACCTATCAACTGACTCATAAACTCAATTATTAAATTACTATAACATTCACAAAAAAAACCTTTCTTATAATAATCATCATATGCTCACTAGTGAATGGCTTCAAGGGGTATTTCTTGGAGTTCTAGTGAGAAGCAGTGACCAGTGGAGTTCAACCGGGTCTGTTGTGAGATAGTAAATTATTGAAGACGATGGTGAACGGTGACTCTATTTCGTGGATTGGTTGAAGTTAGACATTAACAGATGTTAAGCGTTCATGTGCGAGACTGATATGTCTTGGGCTCGAATCCCACGGGGTGTTGTGGATGTGCATTGCTGAGGAGTCTCACACTAGGAAGAGACCGACATCCAGTGCTTCCAGGTTTTCCATGGTGGTCTAGCTTCAATTAAATCATCAACCCAACTATTAAATTACTATAATATCCACAAAAAGCCCTTTCTGATAAGAACTCTAGTTTAGTCACTTTGAATATTGATGCTTTCTAAAACTCGCAATTTTAATGGTTTTTATTAAATTAATTAATATACTTAACGATTATGTTTCCAGTTATCGAGTAACTAACTTTCAGGGTTTTTTTCTGATTTTTTTATCTTTTCATAGGAGATGATTCAATGTCTCTTTTGCAACCGTTAATGTCAATTCCATTATCTTTTTCAACTGATAACTCTGTTGTTCCTTATACAATTGGCAATAAATTATTAAATACTACATTGTCTCAATCTAATAATCAAATAATAGAAAAACAATTCAATAAATCTGCTTTAATTACAATATTTCCACATGAGTTAGCTATTCAATCAGCTAAAATAATATGTGATTATTTACGAAAAACTAATTCTGTAAGTTCAGATTCATGGAGTTGATTTTGTTTCCGAATTAGATGTAGATTATAAATTTTACGTATTATTATCTTTGATAGTTTCAACTCAATAATGATAGTGCTTAATGTATTATTAGCTTAAATTAGATGCCAATACACTATGATTTCATTCTAGTACAATAAATGATTTATGGAGATTGTTAAATTTTATAGTTTTCATCACAGATTGATCTTAGCTAAACAGCCACTGGAAATCAGGAAGTACTAGATAGCTACTTCGTCCGAACGTGAGTCTTCTAAGCAATGAACACTAGGTGTATGACAGTTATCCAAAAACAATATTAGAAGTTAGTTGCGCAAAATATAGAGTATAGATTGAAGTTATACATGTGAACTATTGAACAGCTGTTCACTGATCTGAAAGTCAAGTGATCTAAGCAAGTACTAAAGGCCCCGGGTTTAATAGTCGTTGGGATCAGGAATGTACACAAATGGGGTCTCATACTATAAAGAGACTTCTGTCTAATGTTTCCGGATTTTCACTGATTGTCTAAATAAGATTTTATTCTAGTTTCCAACGTTTCTGATGTCCCCTTCATTCATCAATCCCACCCAAAAATTTATAATTAATTATTTTAAAACTCGTATTTAAAGGTTATTAGTTTCCAAGACTTTTTAGATTTAGTCACTGTATCATTATGACACAACCGTTCTCCAGTATCATTTATAATGCATAGTCTTCGTTTAAGAATTTTCATGGATTAGTTATTTTCATCAGCAATAAATTAAAGTTAATCACTAACTGATCACCGCTAAAAATGTTTCATATAACAGTTTGGGACGAATTATTTGATATCGGTTCATCTAATCATGAACGAAGTAGGAATTTACCTGTACGTGTTTATCTATGTAGTTTTCCATATTTCATATTACCATATGAAGAGATAAAATTAACATGACAATCAAAAAAATTTAAGTAATAGCTGTAAAAATGATAATCAAGAAGAGAAACGTTAAGGACATATCTCGAAAATAAGTAATGAAGTTGCTAAACAAAAGGTATGAAATTATAGTAAAACTCATGATCTAAAAGAAAATAGAGATTGAATACAGATGAGCCACTGTTACCATTTGTGAACCACATCATCATAGGTCTCTGAGTAAACAATCATATTTAATTTATTAAACGAGTAAAAGTTTTTATATTCGGGATTGAATAACACATTTTTCGCGAGGGAAGACCATTATTACTACTAAATGACTGCCCATACTAAACTAGGTAGAATAAGTTTGAACTTGATACACACGAGTAGAAGACCTAGATCCTTGACTATTAAGCCACCTTTGTGTGTATGTCGTAGTTATCATGAAGAACATAACCGAAAGTCTACATTCTCCAATGCAATACATTCTAAGAACTGATGATTTCATGAATTCATGGAATATCCTGGTGAGATCCCTTCATGACCTCCATTCATTCAGCGTTGAAGTGGTCCCACCATGTTCTAAAAATACTTCAAAGGAACCAGTAATATGACTAAAGACAATATAAAAGTATTTGTATAAGAAACATGTGCCAGAAAATGTCAATAAATTCAGTTGTTGTTATTGATGAAAACAATAATAGTTATGTGCCTATAGCCGCCATAAATTATTTAGATTTTGTACTCTTTCTCTTAATTCCTCATTGTTTTTTTGAAAAGTAAAACAACCTTTTATTAATCAATTTTCTTTCCTATATAGTGTACTATTGTTCAAACTAGTTGTTCTCAATTTTCTGAACATGAAATTGAACAAATCTTCAAATGTAACTCTAAAGTGTTTAGATCAGGTAAATTATATGGTTCATTTTAAAATATAGTTTTCATTTTACATTTCTAATTATATGATATTTAATTATTTTCACTGTTACATACTGACATTTTAAATGATTCATTTCATCTAACATTAATCTTTGATGCGCACTACTGAGGAGTCCCACAATAGGACGAAACGGCCGTCCAGTGCTTCCAGGTTTGCAGCGGTAGTCTAGCTTCAATTGACTAATGATTTCAACTATATATTAATCTTTGATCTTTAAACAAGTATCAATCGTTTAGATTCTATAGGTATGAATCACATGTAATCAAATCTCCTACAATTATCTTATATTGAATAACTATTAGTCTGTGTTTTAGTCAGTTAATGTATATTCATATTTTGTCTACAGTATTAACAATTGAAGTTAAACGAGAAATTCTGACTCAAATAGGATTTTAATAGCTGATTTTCATGAAACTACCTCAGTTTTTTGATAGATCATAATACTACAAAATATAACTATTTAGCCCAACCACTTTAACATGTAGGAAATGTTTTTGAATTATTTCTCTTGTGAGTAACTACTGTTTGGTTGTTTATTTTTCATTACTCACATTTGTGTAGGTCACTCAAAAATAAATTTCCATTTTAGATGTCAAAGTAATTATTATTCGTTTAGCCAGTTTACATTTTAAATGTTTGTCATTGGTTCCATCACTTAGTATGTAAGATCGTAACCTGCAATCATCTTCATTGAAGACAAGGAATCACATATACACTTATGTTCTTTGAGGTCACACTTAGGTATCTCTGAAAACGAGGCTGACCCAGGTGTTGCTTGGAAAGATATAGGAAAAGCTGTAGAACCAGCAGTGACATCTATTAGTAGTTTAAACCAAAGGGTTACAAAAAACCAATGGATTTCTTCTAAGTCTATTTCACTGATGGATTCTCGTAAACTCATCCCATCAGGCTCTGAACACGATGATGAGCGAAAACAAATAAGCTCTAGGTTAACTAAAAATCTAAGGAACGACTGTGAGCAGTGGTGGCTAACGAAATAAAAAACATGGAAAAGACAGCGGCTGTAGGTAACACCAGACAATTCTTCAAACTAATAAAAGAAACCGGAATTATAAGTCAAGTGTAAGTGAGACAACCCCGTAAAAAATGAAACTCTTATCCGCTCTCAGTTCAGACGTTTAGAACGATGAGCAGAACACTTTAGAGAACGGTTTAGCTGACCTTCAGCTACTCTACACTTACCCACCATTCCCAGACAGTCTGAATGGTACGTTGAGGTAGGTCCTCCGACTCTTATTGAAGTTCAAAAAGCTATAACTAATCTGAAACAAGGAAAGGCAGCTGGTCCAGATAGATTGGCTCTAGAGGTCTTTAAATATGTTGGTTAACTTTTAACGATTAGGTTGACCAATATTTGAGCTAAAATCTGGGAGTTGGACGTAATACCATCTGACTGGTCACAATCACTGATTGTTCCAATATATAAGAAGGGGTCAAAATCATCCTGTGATAACCATGGAGGGATTAGTTTTACTAATATAGCATCTGAAATACTAGCCTCAATAATTATCAGTAACCTAACTAAGATTCGTGAACTTCAAACACGAGAAAATCAGGCTGGCTTCAGACCTGGTCGTGGCTATATCGACCACACATTCACTAGTTGTCAGGTTTCAGAACATGTTTATGAGCATCCGACAATAATAGTTTTTCTTGACTAACAAGTAGTATTTGACTCTGTAGACCGAGAGGTTCTGTGGCAGTGTCTGTCATTGAAAGGTGTACCTCAGAAGTACGTAAACCATGTGAAGGCTTTTTACTCGAACACTACTGGTCGAGTCAGAGCTTATGGCGAACTGTCATCTGGTTTTGCAACTTTAAATGTTGTCCGACAAGGCTGTTCACTGTCTCTATTTTTCTTTAACTTCATCATAGGCCTGCTGCTGGAAATAACGCTCTCGTCGGCTGAATTTTCAGGGATTGATCTTCTACTAGGAGGCCCATTTGTCGACTTACAATACACAGCTGACATAATCCTGTTTGGTAAAGACGCTGATAAAGTACAGAGTGATTTGGTAACACTGAGGAACAATACTAGAATGTTTGGGATACGATCTTCCCTCTAAATGTAAATTGTTGCTCCAGGACTGGCTTGCGTCAACACCTGAACTAAAGATAGGGAGCGAAGTAATCGAACGCGTCGACAATTTCACTTATCTTGGAAGTGTGATCAGCCCTAATGGGTTAGTGTCTGACAAAATCTCTTCACAGATTAAAAAAGCTCATTTGGCTTTTGCCAACTTATGTCACTATGGATATGGTGAGATATCCGTCTACCAATTAAGGGACAAGTATACTGAGCAGCAGTTTGTTCTATTCTACTTTACGGCTGCGAAATGTGACCATTAAGAGTAGAAGATACTCGTAAGTTACTAGTATTTGACCACAGATGCGTTAGAAATATTGCTCGCATCTGCTGGAATCACCAGGAAAGTAATAATGAGGTTAGACATAGATTGTTAGGGAACGTTGGTAAATCAGTTGATGAGGTTGTGAATCTTCATCGACTGAGATGGGTGGGCCACGTGTTACGTATACCTGAACACCGATTACCACGATGCGATATGCTGACTACTGTAGGGGATGGTTGGAAAAGAGTTAGGGGTGACCAAACCAAAATGTGGCGTCAGTCCTTTAAGTCACCAACTTATAGTCTGAGCCATGTTGGTGATTGCAGACTACTTGGTTGGGGTCCGTGTGACTATCGTAACCAATGGTTGGAGACTTTATGTGATATGGCTCAGAATCGATCACAATGTATTTATTTATTTGAACACATAAATATTGGTACAAAAGTAAACCAGATACAAATGTGTCACACAAAAAAATTTTCATTTCATTTAATTGTGTGAAGGCTATGATACTGTCCGGGTGTCCAGATCGAAGCAGGTGGTTTTCTTAAGGGGCCACACCTGGAGCCTTCTACCTGAAGCTCTAATCCACAAGGCAGTGGAGCAACCTAAGGAGGTTCAGTCCTATGGTAGCCCGTGACCAACCATTGGTTCATACTCCATTTGTTTACTTAGGGTACTGGAGCCCATGTGCACCATTGTTTCGGAATGAGGTTTTCCAACTCCCCTAGGTGGACTTTCCGTGTCCACCAACCCGGTTAAAGTGCCGGATATTCATCTTTTGTCCTCTCAGTTCCGTAAACAACACCCCCGTCACGAGAAGGCAATGAGTAGGACTTCCCTGGCAGAGGCTATATACGCGTGGTCGTGTGAGAGCATTTCGAGAGGGAGAACGGACTCTTCCCACTCTCGGCCGTACCAGGGCTTTTGGGAGCATCGATCACAATGGCGCAGGTGTATACACACTTTATCTTCCCTTAAACTATGAGATTAAAATTACTTCGTATCTTTCTTTTTTCCTGCACTATGTCCTTATATACAATCTTCATTTTATATATTACCACCATCAAATTAACCACTTCTATGAATTTGGTGTTCATCTTGTTGTATTAATGAGGTTATAGCAACTTGGACCTATACATAATTGTGCCTGGTCCTACATTGTAGCTGACTGACTGACTGAAAAATATTATCACAAAGAGCTTCATAAGTTAGTATTAATTTTCCTTTGATTTATCAAATATATTTTCAAACGTTTTGATTAATTTATAACCGTTGTATCGATATGATTCAGAATGTTTTGTTGCATATTGTCTGACAAAAATTCTTATACTAAACAAAATCAGACCTACCATAATTGAATGATCCTAAAAATATAATTAACCAATAGCATTGGTGGGCTTAGGAGTAACTAATGAGCGTCACATTGTCTGGTAAACAGTTAAATTTTTCCCTTAGACACTAATCACAATTAAAATGCTAAACTTAATATCTAAATCTATGTTCAAGTATCAAAACCTGATTTCATTGAGAAACAAAACCAACCAAATAGTAGTGGTTCTTAATCCTACAACTGAAGCTATGTAATATTTAAAGGTCCTCAATGACAAAAGTTAATACTTACCAATATTTTCGTTGATGATAATATGTTGGTTAAAACCTGATCAGTGTTTTCCTGCTCTTAGTCAAATCGGTTGGTAAAAAAAGTTGATAGAGCCCTAATTTTTTATGAATCATAATTATTTACTTAAATAATTGTGAGTAGTTAAATGTTTATATATAAATGGTCGTGTCATTTCAGCACCAATATTTAAGTTTCCAATAATCCTTTGGTTCAAATATGACTAGGTCAAAAAAATTTCTTATTCGGTTTGTTAAAGCGGGGAAGCGTGATGAAACTCATTCAAGGAGTCCACCAAACTTTGGAATGCATGAATTAAATTAGTTAATACTTCTGGTGATCTTTTCTCTCTGAAATTCAAACTGAATCCAATAACCTGGTAAATGGTAGAAAAAATTGCTAGTAAAAATGTAGATTACTTCACTCAAGGCTCCCCACCCAATCTGTTACTAACCTTCGAACCAGTATATTTTCTCGATCAGTGGGATTTCGCTCATTCTCCGAAGGAAATGTTATTTTAAAAACATAACTTATAGGTTTTATTAACACTGTTATTACTAATATTTTGATTTGTGTTTTGCAACTTGTTCATTTCCCGTATCCTTACTGGCTTTAAGTATGGTAAATTGAATAGGTAGTTATTTATACCACGCCTCACGCTAGTTATCTATCTTTGTCTATTCTCTGTACACTCTTCGAACACTAAAGATCATTTAATCCTGGCTTAAGATTTCTCTTCAATGTTTAAATAACATAACATTTTTGTGATCAAACATTCTGATGGCAGTGTTGGAAGGAGTTAAAAATGTTAACTTCTGATAATTTCCTGACTAGCATAACAGAGCTGAGTACTTTTTTCTTTGTTTAATAATTTGTGTTATTTTCTTTGCCTATTCTAAATTGGTATTGGAAATAAAAGGAATGAAAACGTGAATCCTTAATCACATCTATACCCTCATATACTCTTATCAAACA